GAATGAGGCTATTTGTATCACATCATGTTGACAAGTTAATGACAACTCATTGTTTAATTGGCTCCACTAGTTTCTTGCTGTTAAAATTTTGTTACCTATTGTATTCAAGAACAAATGTATAAAGGTATAAGGACAAGATCTCTCAAGATGAATTGTTCCATCATACCTAAAATAATTAACATGTCTACATGGATCTTTGTTTTTAAACGTACCTTCTAAGAAATTATGGCTTTGATTAAACAAATCTTATTATGGGATATTTATGTTTTTGAGGTTATCAGGTTCTGGATCTCGTTCTTTTGGCATTATTTTCTATGGTATTTTACATTAATTCTAGGCTTGGGTTTGAATCATTATTTGCAAGATCGTATGTCATTAGTACCATGATGTGTGATTATAGGTTCAAAATTTGCATATCATGGATTAATCTTCTATATAATAATATTGTTCTCCTGTGAAATTATGTTGACTCTATCATATATTCTTGTGTTTCCCATTTGGATTTTTATCCTTGTTCTCTATGCTTTTGTGAGAAATTCTCTGGTTATTGTCGCCATATCCATAGTGTTTCGATGCAAGATTATCGTTACTGGTATTGTGTCAGACCTATTTTTCGATTAGTTGTTACAAGATTGTTCGCATCTAAATGGATGTTGTGTGTTTCTATGCCCGTAGATTACTCTGCTGGCAACCCAAAGTTTTTTGTGAGTCTATATGGTGGCGTGTAGGTTTCAAACCCTATGATGCGGTGAAGCTGTGTAGTTTTGAGATTCTAGGAAGCAATTTATTTATGTTTCATTGTAGCACCCTAATCCTATCCAACCGAAAATCTAGAGGATTATAATATTACACAGAACCACTTAAGTGGCTAACCATTTTTTCTTTTGAAATCATTCAGACACACACACACACATACATATATATATATACAAAATATGGGGAGCTCCCAATAATAGTCTCCAAAATACATAAGTTAAAAATAGAGTTTACGACTTGCTATTACACAAGGGTCTATGACAGTACATGCCCATTATCATGCTTTATATGTACTCTAATAAGAGTTCAAGTCTAGAAATCCTTAAATTCAGTGACAAGCTCCTCAAATTTGCACCTAAGGACCTGCACAGGAAAACACATTCCATACAGTGAGCGCACAAGCTCATTTCCACACAAATAACCATATTATACTACATTCATTCGACATATGAGCATACGACCAGTATAGTCATGAACATTTGAATATATTCATCTACACAATAATAAAAGTAAGTATCATGGTGTAGCTTGGGGTCACTTAGCATCACGAAACTCACACCCCTATTTGCTTATTATAAGAACCATATGCAAGATCTGGGTCACACAACATAAGCATCAGCATCTCCTGATTACCTCGGGCTAGGTTCGATCACACAGCATTGGTACCTTGTCGAGCTAGTCCACTCCTCTAGAGTACTTAGCACGTGTTCAAGTCACACAACATCGACACAATGTCCAACTAGCATTTAAGTTCTAAAGCATTAAATTGGATATACTTGGATAATCCTTATTATACCAAACAATCATTATACAAAGTGACTCGGGTGTCCTTGTCATTTCCTGAGCATCAAACAAGGACATAAAGCATATGGAATGTTACATAATTAAGATATTCTGTTATTGTACAATTATTAAGGTTCTCACTTATAAGTTTATTAGAGAAGTCCCAATGACTCTTAATTTCCTTATCAAGCTCTTAAAATTAAATTGGGTTTATTACCCACTCTAAGACGAATGTATCAATACTAAACCCTTCAGTATCGATACTGACCCTTGAGCACCAATACCCACCATTAGTATCAATACCAAAAATGGCTACAAAAATCTAAGAGGACTGGGTAATATCAGTACTCATAGCTAGAGTATCGATAGTCTTTTATTGGGGTATCGATACTATTCGAGTATCAATGCCAAATTTTGCTTTAATGTTTTGAAAATTATCATAGTATTGATACCCTTACAGAGACTATTGATACTCTATCCTCAATATCGATACCCCATGAGTATTGATACAAAAAATTGGCTACTAAAATCTAAATTACTATGCTAGTATCGATACTATGTCCTGAATATCGATACTCATTGAACGGTATTGATACCACATGAACGAGTATTGATATTTCCATCCCAAAACACCCTTTGTTTTAGGCTACACGAAGAACATTATTAATATTGTTAATCTAGTATCGATACTTGAACCTAGAAAACTCAGTTTTTACTCGTGTATAACCTCTCAAATCACTCCTAAGGCATCCCCAAGACACCCTAATAGTTTTTAAGCCTTATGCAGAGTTAAAGGGTCATGAAAGGTTATTAATTTATGCATTAACAACACAAAAACCCTATTTACATGTTATGAACTCAAATGCACCCCAAATGCCTCATGCACTCATAGAAGTATCAATACTACACATGTTGATATACCTTTCAGTCGATTGAGGACCCACGGTTTGACAACTTCCAACTTAGATTCTTGAATAAAGACGACTCTAACTTTACTACCCAAGATACACTTACTGACAACACGGACCTTCTCCGCGCTCTTGAACCCTCTCACGTTCCAAGAAAATAGCGACAGATTCATAAAGCAAATTTATAAAAACACTCGCGAAAGATACCCATAGGTAACGTACTTGAACGATCAATTCTTCTCCCCTTACTCGAGCTCCCTAAGTCTTTCCAGAACATCTGATTTTGGGGCATTAAATGTTATCCCCACCTTCCTTCCCACTTTATAAGCTGCCGAAGCTTCATCTTGAGGGAATGAAACACCATGCATTGACCAGAAACGAAATCAGGAGAACTGGCCATGCTCTTTCCATGTTTGCTCGCACTCCCGTCTGTTCGTGGCTTCTTCCTCTTAGCATTGGTCTTCTTTTTCCCTTTAAAATTTTTGCTACCAAGAGCCTGATTTTCGTTTAGCACAGCCTGATTACCATACTCGAGGTTCCCAATCATGAATATTCTCTTGATCGAGACACCATGCACGTTGAGATTTGGGCTAAACTCCGAAAACGGGCTCTGTTGACAAAATAACATAATTAATTGGGATATCGAGTAATCCCAGAGTGCTTGGGCTCGCTTGATTCAAATCCTCTTGCCCCCACGGGCATTTGAAATGGACCCGCCCACCACTGCCTCTTCAAACAAAGATAACCCAACACAAAATGTAATAGGGACCTCCAGCAAACCCTAGAGGGATGATTCATCAAATGCCACGTGATTATTATTTATGTTGGGAACCGCCTGGATTTCACATTGGCTACTTGGAACGGTTTGGCTGAGATTTTCAGAGTATGCCAGATTTCCTTTATTAATTGCTCAATCATTACTAAACCCCCACCGATCTGGAATATTATTTGGCACTTCATCATTATCGAAAAAACACTCCTCTAAGATTCAAAGCACGCCCGACCCATCAGTATGAAAAGTCGAGTTTTACTATTTGCGCGCTTTTTCTCCCGGTGAACGCCCCAGTTCGATTCTTCATCTCCTAGAAGGACCAAAGATAACTCTTCAACTCCAACTCCAACATTAATTGTCAATTTTTATTAGTAAATATTAAATTGATTTATTTAATAATATAGAGTTTGACATATATTTTCACCCTTAGTAATCCATTGAAAGAACTACTCTATTTGATGAAAATGATTTGTGTATGGTATATATTATCATGTCAAAGGCATGATGGATTTTTATTTCTTTGCATACGATGATGAATCCAGCACGTGCCAAGTTAAGAGTTATTGTCATAGTCTATATTATATGAATATGGAGGGAGTTTAGAGAGAAGTTTAATTTTGCACATGTTTAAATCCGAGGGTCCCACTTACCAACACTCCCCCCTCGTACACTGAAAATTGTTCGATTCTTTGAGTTTTAAAGTTCCTTAACACACCAAACTATCCACGTCGGGAAACGAACCGTTCAGGCGTTCTTAACATTTTTGTTGGGCCCCACCCATCTACTCGTTTTAATATTTGCGCGCCTTTTCAGTGTTGAATTCCTTCAACATGCGAATAATAAGGTCAATCATGCACATGATTAAATAGCTTTCAAGTTGGTACCAATATATATTATCCACAATAAGTTTGTCTATTAAGATGGTAATTTAAATTTTTAAGATAATATTTCAAGTGTAAATCATAATATTATGAATAGAATTAAGTTGAAAAAGATAAATTCAACTATAAATTTATGTAATATTTGATATGAATTAATCAATTACTAAGTTGAATATCATAATTTTTTAACTCAAAAGACTGAATGTAACTATTATTAAACGACAGTTTACGACCAAGACAGCTGCCAAAATTATAATGTTGAAGTTTAGAGTTAGTGTTTAGGGTATAGTATCATTCAAACATGTCAAATAGCATCAAATAAAAATATTTGTGGCGTCCAAAGCTTACACAATATATGCATCAAAGTATATTTATATTAATATTCGAATATATGATATCTTAATCTATTTTGTTTCTCATGATACATGTAAATTTTTAATCAAATCAAATATAAAAAAGTAAATTAGTCAATTTGATTTTAAATGTGGACAACAATATTTGGATAATTTCGGTACAACATAAATAAACAATAATAACCTAACTCTTACAAAAGAGTTTCACAATACCTTATTATAGCGACGAATCTACAATATAAATTCATGCACAGAAGAAGTACGTAGTATGCAGACAACGAGAAGTTACATATTAATTTTACACTAATATTTTATCAGCCTAAAAGGATATTTCATCGATCATCTTCTTCGTGGAAACTCGAATCTTTGGTTTGGTCCAAAAAAATAACGAAGAAGAGACGGATGCTGGAATTTCTAACTTCTGAAAAAGACAGCAGGATCTGTCAAAAAAGACAGCAGATTTAAGTTGCTAGAAGCATTAATGAAAACAAGGAGAAAAAAATGAAGTTTCAGGCTTCTCTTACATTACAGTAGATTCAAACATAGTTCAAGACCTATTAGGGTTTCTGGTAGTGGTAGCAGAATCCCAGGAATTGTTGTTGCCATCCACATCGAAATCCGTCATCTTCATCCATTGTTGAATCTCATCTTCGCCTATTCTATCCCAAAACTCAGTCCCCATGCTCGCATTTATCTGATCGGACAAAACTATACTTGTTGCTGCGGTGGTCGCCGCGGCGGCGGATGGTGTTGTTGCATTCTCAATGCTGGTGCTGTCGGGGAATGGGAAGTTAAGTTTAGCTCTGGGTCCACGGAAATCGATGGCGGCTTTATCGTAAGCACGGGCAGCTTCCTCCTCTGTATTGAAGGTTCCGAGCCAGACCCGGACGGCGCGACGCGGGTCTCGTATCTCTGCAGCCCATTTTCCCCACGGCCTTTGTCGAACTCCCCTGTAGTTTTTCTTCACTCTTTTAGTTCTAGTCGTAGAAGACGTGGCTGCTCCGCCCTTTTTGTCTTCCTGCTGAATTGGCGGGAAAAGGTTGCAGCCTAAACAGTCGTCAAATTTGCACACTTGGCACTTATCCATAACTTCACTCGCTTCTACCACCATATTCCCACCGGCAATGTCAGTTGAAGAAGAAGCTCCGACAGCATGGGTACGAAAATCTAAAGAAAAATCAACGGCGGTGGTGGAGGAAGGGACTGAACCGGTGATGACGTTCGTGAGGGCGGAAACCATGACTGATAATTCTTGTTCGCGAGAAAGACGACGGGGGGGCGAAGGTGGCGGCGTCATCGTAGGCGGAGCTAGGAAGGAGACTCGTCTTCGCCTTTGTTTAAGCATAAAACTTGTGCTGATTTGGATTTTTTTGTCTTTGCAGTTTTCGGCTTCGGACAAGAAAACGAGGATGTAAGGAGGTATTTAACGGAGACTTTTTTTTTGTAAGGATGCCAACATGGCATGCCAGCTGGGAACACACGGGATGATTTAAATAAAAGATTCTACCGGTCAAAAAAAGATAAGAGATTCTAGTAAGCGCACGTGGCGGATAAACAATCTTACAGCTACAAATAAAATGATGCTACGTGGCTTATGATGCTATAGTGACACTGACACTGCAAATATACACACACTAGTTAGTTTCCATTTTTTGATTTTGGACGGTCATACATACTATAAGATCAATAATAACTCTATAAACACATTGATTAATGCTACAAATAATTGTTCTCAAACATTAATGTTTTAATTTATGTTATTAATCTTATAATATTAATTAAAACTATAATTTTAATATCAATTTAACCCAAAATCCATTCATTGTGTGTAAAGAGATTTATGAAGACTTTGGGTTTAAATCTCAGGTTTAACAATTATTTTTGTAATAAACAAAGAAAATGACATGTGATAATTAGGTGATATTATGAGTAAGATGTTATTAGGGATTTAAATTGAAATAATTTTTGGTCATCAAAATGATAGCCCTATAAAGTTGAGAAACAATTGAGTAATTTTACAATTTTACTTATAGTAAAAATTTTCACTTGTGAGATGAAATTACAAATTTTGCCTTAATTATTTAATTTTAATTTGAGGGGAAGACAGTTTTGCAAAGTGGTCCGTTAGCATTCATATTGACAGCGAAGACACGGCTAGAAGTTTTGGGAAATCCTAAGAGACAAAAACCAACCGTCAAAACCCGAAAACGACCGGACATGGTCACAACACAGCCCTTTTGACAACAATTTTCAAGACTACTTTCAAGTTCAACCATCCAACAACAGTGGGTCCACTCGGATATATTTTGATTTTTAATTTCATCATAGTATAAATTTTATTCAGATAAATTTTGGTTTTTTTAAGTATAATTATTCGAACTTATTTTTGTAAACTTTTTCAAAACGCTGCGTTTTTCTTTACTTAACATGCGAATTAAAATACTAATTCAATTTCAGATGAAATTTGATACGGCACAAATTAAAATTAAACCCTCGAGCTCTCTTACGTTTTTTTAACCTTCAAATGTATCTTCACAAACTACAATCAAATTGTACTATTACTGAACCAAATAATAATTTATTAACATTTATATTTTTTTATATCTTTTTATTATTTCTGGTCGGAAAATACAAGTTTTGGTATTTTGCTAACTGGTCCATTTTAACATTTAAATTTGACAGAGAATACAGGAAATTTGGACATAATCACCTCTAAGAGTCGAGATTCAAGACCCTAAAGCGACAAGACTAATTACACAAGAAGGTCCCCCACTTCATATTTCTTTTCACTTTGATCCCTTTGACAAATTCAAGTTCAACGGCCAACTAAAAAAAGGTAAAATAAGTTACAGAAAGGTTTTAGTAATTAAAGCTTTGATTATCACATGGGTCAGATAGTGGTGGAACCTATTTTTCTCCTTAAAAGTTTGGAACTTTCTAAGCATAAATAAATTAAGGGTACATACTAATTGTCCCTTTTATTTTAGTTTTCTTTTACTCCAATCACTCAACTTTTATTTTAGTTTGGAGCTTTGACATGTAATTGTATTTGGTATTTATTTGTAAATCCCAATAATGTTAGAAATGTGTGTGAATGAGGACGAAAATAGTTTAAATCAAAAGATATTTTAGTAATATAAATGTGATTACAAGATATTATTTTTCAGAATCTTTCTTAGTTATTAACAATGTGTAAATATTATGCAAACGCAACTATTTGAATTCAAAATCTCTAAAGAAAATAACACTTTCTTATACCCTAGATTAGACAGGGAAATGCATAAATTATGTTGATGTGAAAAAAAAGAATTTCATTAACCATGAATGGATTTTTTTTTTGAAATTTAGATGGAGATCATTGATGGTATTCTTATATCTCATAAGAAGGAAACAAAAAAGATGATGGTTGTGCATTAATAGTTAAGGGCACTTATTCTACATTGGGAAGAAAAATACCTTAATTTTAGTTTGATATAATAGTTATTTTAACATTGATTTTTTAGCACGATTTTGGACTGCTTTGTGACTAGGTTCAGCTAGTTATTAACAGAGGAATCACAAAATTAATTACGTGATTAAATTTTAAAATAAATCAATGTTTATGACTGATCATTTTTTTACAATTTTATCCATTCGTTTAGCCCATAAATAGATATGTTTTCTCTCATTTTCTATCATCCAACGATATAAAAGTATTTCTCTCTTTTAAAAATCCTTTCAAAAGTTTCTTCATTTTCCGGTGAGAATAACAACTCCATCATTGTCCACTCCAATATTCGAGTGTACGTTTATTTGGAGCTACTGTTTTAACCTCGAGGGACGTACACCTACAGCAACAATTACACTTATCGAGGAAAAATCATTTCTAAAGTAGTGGTTTCATACCATGACACAGTTTATTCTTTACCATTTATTTTATTAGTTATTATTATTATCCAGTCAGTGCTAATAATTCCATTTTGCGTATACTTTACCAATAATTTAGAAAAGATTTATTAACTGAAAAATGTCGAACACCATGGCTAAATTTGTTCCTGACCTATCCAAGCTTGATGCTCTTGATGGGATAGATTATCAGAGGTGGTTCCAGAGGATAATAATTTTCTTCGAATAGCATGACATTGACTACATGCTGATAAAGCTAGTACCCCAGCCCACCTCATTGTCCTTAGATATCGTCTTTAATGCTATCGGAGGTGACTCTACTCCTGCTCCTTCCAGTGAAGCCCTTCATTTTGTAGCTTATGTTGTTGTTCCTTCCCAAGCAACCTTGGAGAAGTACAAAATGGAAAACAAGATTGTTCGTGGTTTTCTCTTAAGTAACATGTCGAAAAAACGTTTTTGACATGTTCTTAAGGAAAAAAGTGCTAAGGCGATATGAGACACACTGGAGAAGAAGTACGGAGCCAATGATGCTAGCATAAAGAAGTACGTGGTGGATGAGTGGCTCATGTTCTAAATGTCTGATGATAAGCCAATCATGGATCAAGTCCATGATTAAGAGAAGCTAATTTCTGACATCCTAGTCGAAGACATGAAGATGTGTGAAGTCCTATAAGAAAATGTCCTCATTGAGAAGTTGCCCAAGTCCTAGTCTGACTACCACGATTCCTCGAAGCACAAGAAGAACATGTTCACAATCGAAGAGCTAGTGGGTCATGTGAAGATAAAAGAAGACAACTGAATTAACGATAAGTTGACTTCTTTTAATAATATTTCTTTTAAGGCTAATCTAGTTGAATCTAGGTCTGCCTTAGGGTCTAATTTTAATAATTCCAAAAGACGAGGTAGCCAAAAGCAAAATGTCAAAGGCCATAAAGTTGTCAACTTCAAGAAACCCGTGAAGGATAATACTCCACCAAAGCCCTTCAACTGCTATGTGTATAGAAAAGCCAAACACAAAGCCTACCAATGGCAACAACGATTAGACCACCAGAATGAGAAAAAAAACACAACTGAACTTTGCTGAGAATACTGACAATGTCATAGTAGTGATGGTTTCTAAAGTTAACCTGGTGGAGAACAATGCTGAGTGGATCGAAGACACTGGAACTTCTAGGCATTTCTACGCCAAACGAGAACTATTCATCGAGTTTGAGGATATGAAGAATGGTGAAAAATGTACATGGGGAACTCTAGCTACTCTGAAGTGTTAGGTAAATGAAAGGTTTTACTTAAGCTAACTTCTAGTAAAACCTTAGCTTTAAATAATGTTATGTATGTACCTACATGCGTAGAGATCTGATTAGTGGTGGGTTACTGAATAAGACAGACATTAAACTAGTTTTCGAATTAGATAAACTCATACTTTCCCAACATGGTCATTATGTAGGAAAATGTTATTTCAACAGAGGTTTATTTGTAATCAAAACCTAGTTTAATGAAAGTAATAAAACCATCACTTCTGTTTATATTGCTTAGACTCTTAATATATGGCATGCTAGATTAGGACATGTGAACATTCACTTTTAAAAAAACTCATTAGAATGAATTTACTTCCTAATCTAGATGATAATAACTTTAACAAATGTGAGATTTGCTAGTAGAAGCTAAGCATGTAATATCCAAAACTACGGGTTAGTGACCAAATTTTAAAAGTTCAGAATTTAGTGTCTAAAGTAGAAATTATTAAAAAGTTTAAGGATTTATATGGAATTTTTGGTGTACGATTAAATTGCAAAGAATGGTGAATGGAAGGGCAAAATGGTCATTTGACTAAGAAATAAATTAAAAATAGAATAGGATAAGGATATATACACGTGAAGATGTTGGGAAAGGAAAACAAAGTTTTCCAGAGAATTCTCCATCTTTCTTTCTCCTCAGCCGTGAGCTACCATAACAAAGGTGAGTTTTCTGGTCAGTTGATTATTTGTTGATTTTAAGTATGGGTTTTGATCCTTAGGTGATACTTAAGCTTAAGGAAAGCTTAAGTTGTCTTAAAACCAAAAGATGAAGAAGTTATAAAAGATTCAAGAGAAGGGGTTTCTAAATGAATTTCTGAAAAAGAATTAATAAAGGAACTTTGAGATAGAATTTGACTTGTCATCAACTAAATTAAGAAGTATAAAGTGTTAGAATGTAAATTAGGACATGATGGAAAATTTGTAAAATTCTTGATTTCAATATATATGATGAAAATCAGAAGATAAAGATGGTTTATATGGATATAAGTTGATTTGAGTAAGGGTAGTTAAGTTTAATGGCATGATAAGGGCTTAAAATGGAAGGTTTAGAGTAGTATTGTTGAATTTGCGGGTGTAAAAAGGGAATTCTGGGCTATGGGTATCGGTACTGCTTCAACAGGTATCGATACCCTAAGCTTTAAATAGACAAAATTATGCAT